GTATGTTACAGTCACCTGGTGTGCCTCCTCTGTCTGCTTTGTATGTGTATGTACTCGCGTATACCCATGTTTGTTGTACGTCGTCATCGTCGTCGTCGTCGTCGTCGTTGTCGTCGCGCAGTTGCAAGACGAAACAGCTAACAAGAGGCGGGAGATGAATAGCGCCGGACCGAGCAAGTGTCGGAGCATTGTTTGGGCTCGTGCAACGAGCCGAGTGGTACTTGCACGACGACGACGGAATGTCGAACGTGACTGGTTGGCCGCGTATTTTCGGCGGTGCGGTCACGTTTCCGCCTTTAGCTTAACGAGCCGCGCGGAATGTGCATGCTTCTTCAAGAGCGTTGCTATGCCAGGTACCTGCGGGCGTGCGAACGAGCGACCGAGCGAGCGAAAGAGAGAGAGAGAGGGGAGGGGAGTGGGAAAGAGAGAGAGAGAGAGAGAGAGAGAGAGAGAGAGAGAGAAAGCGAGAGAGCGAACGACAAAATCGCAAAGTCGAGTTCGCGGGAAATCGGTTTCTTCGGCTTTTTCTCGAAGCGATCGCTTCGGGTCGTGCGATTATATTCATGATGATCAGATGATCGTGGGGCGAACGTGTCGAAATCGTGTACTTTGCGCGCGATGGAACAACGACGAGGAACGATTTTCAGTCTACTCTTACGTGTTTACGCGATTTTCAATTTCTCAACATTTCTTTTTCCTCGCTGCCGCGTTTCCAGACTGACACTCGATATGACGCGATCGATCTCAAAGTTACCGTGCTACGCGAGCCAGGGACTCATCGGGTCTTGGACATTCCCAAGTGTCTCCTCTCCTTGGCCCTTTCTGATTTTCTACTTCAGCATTCCTCCGCACGTCGGTTCGCTCGAAGCGGAAGAGACGAGTTCCTGACGAGCTCGCGCCGGTGTCGTAAATTCCGCGACGATACTATTTGTTATGCTCTCGCCCCCTCTCTCCCTCCCTCCCTGCCTATTTCGTGCTCCTCCTTCCGCGACGATTTCGCGTTGTTCACGATGATGTAACCGCGGCAGAGCGACGACGAGAAGACGACGGCGACGAGGAAACGACTCGGAAGGAAACGCGAGTCTCGGCATGGCGCCGTGCGGAATTTCAATGTTCCAGTAAAGGAGCGCGCGTTTCCGCGAACGAGCCAGGCCATCGCGAAATCTTGTAATTAAAGTTACCGTGTAATTACGAGGAGCAAGAGGGAGAGAAAGAAGAGAGAGGGCGGAGAGAGAAAGAGAGAGAGAGAGAGAGAGAGAGAGAGAGAGAGAGAGAGAGATAGGGGAAAACGATGTCAGAACCGTGTTGCGACATCGTCGTCCTCGTCGCGCTAACGAATCTCGAGAAGAGGAGAAGAGAGACACAAATTGCGCCACCCTCGCAAGAAAAGGTCAGACACCGGACCGCCAGCGACGTCGATCCGCCGAGAGACGGACGAGACGGACGAGATTTCGCGCGACGGTGGATCAACCCCGGCGCTGCTAGACCCGGCCGTTCTCCTCCGTCAACGTTTGTTTCGCGTCGCAAGCGCGAGCGGACTATGGTCGCGGGAAAAGAAAGGACTCGTGGAGTCCTCGCCGGGGTCGCTTAATCAAGCGCCGTCAGCATAATGAATTCTTTTAGACTCGGTTACCGCGGCGGTCTTAATTAATTAACTTTCGTCAGCGGGCGCGAGCGTCCCATTCGGGACGGATCATAATTCTGAGTAACTAACTCTACGACATAATATAAGAATAAGGGAGGAATGCGAGGCGAGGTTTAGTGCAATTAACGTTAATTGGCTTTTAAATATGCTCCCCTCGTGCCGCCCGATATGTATTATACGGCGTACGTGGTTATAACTTGGCTATACTTTTCGTCTATTTCCCACGCGCAGTTATCACTCGTAATTAAGCGATGCGACGATTCCGCCGCCGCCGTCGTCGCGCGACAGCCATCACGATCGCGCGTCGCAATCGCGTTTCATTCATTCGCCGCGTTGAGTTCGCGCTGAATAAAAAATTGGCCGACTTAACTAACGCGTTCCCCGCGCGCCGACGGCGGCGACGCTCCCGTGTCGAAACGGTTGTGAAATTTAGCCGCCGCCGTCTTCTCTCCCCTCTCGACATCTCGCGCTCGTCGTAGACGTCGAAAATTACGCCCCGTTGAATTATAACGCTTCCGAATGCTGGCACGTGACGCGGGGATCTCTCGCACGCTGACGTTTATTGAGCCGGCTCGGATGTCTCAGCAGACGGCCTCCATACGGAGCTTCGATACGATCCCCCCCGCGTGGTTCCTCTTCCTATTCCCGCGGGAATAATTGAACAGGAGCGTGCGCGGGAAGCAACCGCCTGTTCCGGACCGCGGTAAAAATGCGGGGCTTAGCGTCGCCGACGCGGCGCCGATCGATGCAATTAACTCTTTTAATCTCGCGAGAGCCGACTGATTGTCGCGTAACGCTGCGCCTGCGGTAATTATTCGGAGTCGAATTTCGACTCTCGTCGGCTGGACAATCGTCGGCGCGTCCGATCGATCGATCGATCGGTCGATCTGTCGAATCGCAGCCGCACGTCGTGTCACACCGACGTGGCGCGGCGCGGCGGTCCTTTCGTTTCCGCGCTTTTCGGCGCGCGCGCGCGCGCGAAACGCTGCCCCGCCGAAATCACGTCGACATCAATCTCGGACACTGACGCGCGTAAAAGTGCAACGGCTCCGTTGCACCACATTATCACGCACGTCAATGACACGCGGGTCTCGTCGGTCGGCGGAACGCAGCGCGAATAACCGTGTGCAAATGTGCACAATGTGCACATTCAGTGTCGCGGTGACAGTTCGTGCGTTCTTTCGTCCTTAAAATTGCCCGATCGGCGCATGATATTCATGTGACACGCTCTACATATATGTATGTGTCGCATTAATATAATTAATATTGATATCTTGACATTAATAAATATTACGTGCCACATTAATGTGACAATATAACGCGTGCAACGATGTGGCAATATAATAATTCCGCCGAGATGCGCACTTCGTCGAGGGAGAGACGGTGCTTTTTGTCTCGCCGACGATTAACGGGCTGTGAATCGCTCGCTCAAAAAGCGGCGAACTGCCGCTTCCCCCATCTCTTGTTTCGCTCGTCTTTTATTCGCACGTTTTGCTCGGAGTCCGGTAAAAATACGAATTTTCGAGTCGACCGCGTTGCGCTCCGTTCGACGAAGATTTGACTTGGAGCTCGTCGCGGGATTTACGGCTTCTCGGGCAGAAAATACCCGAGTTCTCGTTGCGCGCGTGCTACTGCACTGCACGTCACCTAAATGCCGCGAATGCGTGCTCCGTGAAAATAACGACGCGTGACTCTCGTGGCATGCCGGAAAACTTGAAACTGCCGTCGCTCGCGACTATAGTGACGGCCTCGTTGAGTCGGCAATATTTCGCGCCGATGTAACATATGAAATACTTGACTCGCAACCTATTCCTAGATACTCGTGGACATTCTATATTTCGCACAGACGAGACCCGAGCGCTCCCCGAGAAGCTCTCTCTCTCTCTCCGTCGGTGTTGTATCGCGTGAAATTGCAATGTCTCTCGCGTCACGCAGAATTGCGCGCAGTCGCGAAAAGAATCTCGCGTTTTCTGAGAATCTCACATTATATCCCGATATAACAGATGTGAAACGCGTAAGTTCGCATCACCTCCGCACTTGTATCGAGATTGCGAGCTGCGCGAGAGTCGCTCGCGCTCTCGGAATATCAGAATCTCAGAAGGGATTTTTCATTTTCTCCAGGGAAAGAGGGAGGGAGGAAACAGAGGGAGAGGAGAAGGAGGAGGAGAAAGAGGCGCCGTTTGATTACTTTAGCGTGGTAGAAGCATGACTTAGGTATTCCGAAGTAGAAGAAACCCGAACAATGAGTCTCGCGTGAGTGTTTGCGGCGCCAAAGTGCGCGAGAAGCGGCGTCAAGTGGCGCGATTGTCGGCCCGGCCGCAAATCCTCCGCCTAGTGTTTGCGTGAGTAATTTCAGAGGCGCGCACTTTAGAAGAAGGCAATAAGAACGAAATAATTGTTTCGCCTGCCAGCCGCGAACGAGCGTTATCAGTATGCAAACTCCACTCGCGAGTCTCGCGCTCCGCTGCTCGGCTGCTCGCGCTGAATATTAACAAATTCCGCCGTTAGCAACGGACGGACGATATTTCGCGTGCGATTGGATGTGCGGCCGACAAAGAAGACGGCGGCGAATCGGAGAGATTCGCGCGATAAATCGTCCGTCGTTCGTCGCGGGCGCGCGAAAGAACCGCCCGCCCGTCGGCGACCTCGACAGCTCCGAGGGATTCGTACGTCCAAAGGGTTTATCTCGACGATAAATGAGTATTTGGCAATCGGCGAGTATGTTTATTGGGGCCGGGGGGTAGGAATTCGCCGTCGTAAATTTATCGTCTTATTTACTCGCATCAGCGGCTATGTTTGCCGCGGCGAGTATATCGAATGCGAGAACACCGATGTACGGGAAGAAATAGTCTGGATATATGGGCGAGCAGATAAGGACGATAAGAGGGGCCGGTAGGGGGTGGGGGCGTGCGCTAGCGCTCGTGTTCGATGTATATTTTCCGATTTTCCGCAGGGGATGAATTTCCGACGGCATCGTGTGCGCGCGCGCAAAGAGATGGGGGCACAGAGAAGGAAATAGAGAGAGAGAGAGAGAGAGAGAGAGAGACGCGATTCGCCGGACAGTTAAAAATGCCAGTTATTTACGCGTCTTTATTTATGTCCGTCTTATATCGCGCGAGCGTTGATTTATCACGGTGCGGCTTTCGCTCGTTCGCGCGAGAGAGATGTCGATATATATGGCCCCTACATGCATTCCACGGCGATTCTTGTGCGTTTTCTCGCCGGTCGAGTCTCCGGCTTGTTACCGCCGAATTATTTGCGGCGGAATTTCGCAAAATTTCGCGCTGATTCACGCGCGATTTGAATTATTGGAGCCCGGGAGAGAGAGAGAGAGAGAGAGAGAGAGAGAGAGAGA